TACCGCTTTCTTGCCGCTTTGAGACCCGCGTGTGATAACGTCCTCTGACTGTCATCCTTTGGACACATCATGAGAAGGCACGAATCATTGAAAAAGACAATAATGTTAGAAAAGGTGGAGGAAGGTAGAAAGAGAGGAAGGCCACATGATGAATGGATGGACTTTATGAAAGAGACCACCAATAAGAGTTTGCAGGAGCTGGGCAGAGCAGTAGAGGACAGGGGGGCCTGGAGATGTCTCATCCATAGGGTCGCCATGGGTCAAGACCAACACGAAGGCAGTTAACAACAACAACAAAGAGAGACACAGGTGATTATCAGATGGGATCAGGAGCGAAGCGGATCACTCTCCTGTTCTTATCCCATCCTTGTTGCGATCACATGAAAGCATTTCAGAGACATCGTGCTTATCCTGTCATTAACCTGTCATTAAAGTAGAATTGTAGTAACACAATCTCCCGTTAATACACAATGGATTAATACAATGGGACAATTCCACTTCAGTGACAGGTTAATGACAGGATATGTGTGACATCATGGGAAGGTCTGTCTGATAATCTCCCACAGTCAGACACCGAGAATCACAGAGCTGGTGGGGGGAGGGGGAGGCAGAAACCATTGAGTCCAACCTCTCCACCCCCTGCTGAGTGCAGAAAATGCAGTTAGAGCATCCACAACTGGTGTAGCCTCTTTTTTGAAAATGTTCCAGAGAAAGAGACTCTGCCTTTTCGCTAAGCAATTGGTTCCATTTGTGGGAACTGCTCTTCTGCATTTCCTTCCCCACACCATTCCCCATCATAAATGGAATGGTAGTAGAGGGGACTTCAGTGGGTCTGCTGTAGGTCTAGGGAGTAGTAAGTTGTTCAATGTAGTGGTGGATTGCAGCTTTGGTTTCATCACTTTCTTTCTTTGGAGGTCTTTAAACAGAGGCTGGATGGCCATCTGTCAGTGGCGCTTTGATTGAGAGTTCCTGCATGGCAGAGGGTTGGATTGGATGGCCCTTGGGGTCTCTTCCAACTCTATGATTCTATGATCAAGCATGTGGATTTGTACAGGATAACAGACAAACACTTTATACTATAATATAGAGTTGCTATAAATCAAAAGTTGCTATTATGATCTTGAAAGATTAAAAAATAAGACTCAATGAATAGCATTAGAGCCTAGAATGAAATTACAAACCTACATTTGAAAGAGCTTTCACAAGATGTCCACTTCCGTCCATGGCTTGCAGAAAGTCTTTATAAAACTTCATTTTCACCCTGTTGTCCCGAACAACCAAAACGCCAATTCCTTTGAAAGTGAACTCGACCGTCTGCTTGGTGGCAATGGACCGCGAGAAAGACAGGAGCGTCTCTCGGACGCAACCTTCCACAGTCTCCCTGTTAAAGGGGCCTTCCAGGGACAACACAATGAAATTCAGATGGACAATTGGGATATCACCTAGAGGAAGATTGTGGGGGAAAGAAAGTTGAAAGCAGAAAGAAATCTATACGAGAAACAGTACATCAAATGGGTTAAAATGTCAGAAGATCAGTAAAGCTCATTCATGTATTCCTTTCAGGATAAAATGGAAAACGGTAAGCTTAGGCACAGATTTCGCTAATAACTCCAGTTGAGCCAAACCACTTTTTCTACTTTTGTAGACTGTAACCTAAATTCTCTTCTTGTTCTGACTGGCGTACACTCATTGAATACATTAAATTTATCTACATGTTGACTCAGCATTCAACCATTTACTGAATGGGTCTACTCTAGTTGCCAGTCCAAGTTAAATGATAAACATATGCATACGCACAAACATACAGGTGTGAAGGAAAGCACTGAACAACAATTTGGGTTCTTACCAGGAGTGTGTATTTTATTCAATTTCAGTCCATGAATCTGGGCAAGTTTCTCAGACAGAAGGAAGACAGGCCGTTGTACAACGCGAGGCTTGCTACCACCAACTTCAAACTTTTGTCGGAAGAATGAAAACGTCCCCAGCCCTGGTATTAAGACACCCTGAAAGAGAAGCGATCATAAGCAAGAGCTGGAGTTATGTAATAGTTAAGGACATACCGTATGAGCTGGAAAGATCTATTACA